CTACATGTCAAGATACATGTAAAATCATAAATGTCCCCAAAACCGGGTAGAAAAAGGAAATGCATCTTTATGCATGTATCTCAAGTACGCATGTCAAATGCAATGCATCTCAATGATGAACTCATGTACTCACACTCTCAGAGTACTCAATCTCATTGTCTCGCATTCTCTCTCACTACGCTCAATACTCAGCACACTCAATCACTCAGCGTTGTACAATACCTGTTGCGGCATGCAGCCTGATACATATATGATCATAAGGCACATTGGGCGTGCAACCCGATCCACATATATATAGTCGACTCCGCTCACTGGGGTGTGCAGACTCCGGAGGGGCTCCTTTCAGCCCAAGCGCTATAATTCGCACGGACAACTCACGTGCCATAATATCAATATCTTGAATCGCACGGACAACTCACGTGCTATAATATCAACATCTAGAATCGCACGGACAACTCACGTACTGCACGGATAACTTACGTGTTATAGTGACAACATCCTCACAAACATGCTACCGGCCTCACTCAGTCATCAATCTCTCCAGTCTCACTCACGGGCTCACAATGTCATGAAACTAGACCGACAACAATGATATGATGTATCAATAAATAACTGAGACTGAGATATGATATGAATGCATGAATATGACTGAGTAATAAATATCAATGAAATCCGTGAGATGACAGTAAGAAACGACCACTATGGGTCCAAACAATATCGGCATAATGCCTAAACATTATATCTAGCATGATTGACAGCTTAACTACTTTATTACATGGTGAAAACATAGATATCAACAAAGTAGGACCACTATACAATGTCATGGAAACAACAGAGTCCCAATTCATATGGTGCACGCCACACGCCTGTCACCTAGCATGTATGTCACCTCAATACCAATCACATAATACGCATTTTGGGGTTTCATACCCTGAGCACTAAGATTAGAAGAGTTACTTACCTCAAACAAGCCAATTCCAACACCGAGCAAGCCAAGCGATTCTCCAAAATGCCATTCCGCACGTTCTGGCCTTTGAACGGCTCGAAACTAACCAAAAACAACTCAAATACTTCAAACAATGCTAAAAGAACCAATCCTGATCGAAAAGGATCAAATCTTAAATCAAAAGCCCAAAATCGGCCAAAAGCTCAACCTAGGCTCGCACCTCGTAACCCGACAAAATTTATAAAATTCAACAACACATTCAATTACTAGTCCAACCATACTAGTTTCACTCAAATTCGACTCCAATTCGATGTTCAAAACTCAAAAATTCATATTATGAAACTTTAGGCCAAAACCCCCAATTTCCTCTTTAAATTTCACAATCCAATTACCAAAAACGAAGATAGATTCATGACATATAACCAAAACCGAGGAGAGAACACTTACCCCAATTCATATAGTAAAAATTGCTTCAAGAATCGCCTCAATCCGAGCTCCATGGCTCCCAAAATGTAAAAATGAACCAAAACCCTCGATAATATAGCTTCTACTCAGCTATTCCGCATTTGCAGAACATTCGTCGCACCTACGACCACCGCTTTTGCGGAAACACTTCGCACCTACGCTGTTCGGCTTCCTCGCCATTTCCTCTTCTGCGACTCCCTGCCCGCATCTGCGCAATCGCAGGTGCGGAAATCCCATCGCACCTGCGACCTCTACCGACACCCTCCAACTCTGCACCTGCGTTCGAGCTGCCGCACATGCGGCATCGCATATGCGCCCAAATCTCCGTTTCTGCGGTCTTCCTCATCCAGATCTCATCCCGCATTTGCGACGCCTTTGTCGCGTCTGCAGCCATCGTACCTGCGCAAACCAACCGCAGGTGCGATCATACTAGAACCAGCAGCCTTCAGCTTTGCCCATGAAGTGAAAATGATCTGAACCTCGTCCAAAACTCATCCGGGCCACTCGGGACCCCTGTCTGAATATACTAACAAGTCCAATAACATAACACGAACCTACTCGAGGTCTCAAATCACGCATATCAATATCGAAACGACGAATCACACCTCAAATCGAAATCTATGAACTTTAAAACTTTAATTTCCACAACTGATGCCAAAACCTATCGAATTACGTTCGATTGACCGCAAATTTTGCACACGCGTCACATTTCACATTACGAACCTATTCCAATTTCCAGAATCGTATTCCGACCCCGATATCAAAAAGTCAACCCCTCGGTCAAACTTCCAAATAATTCAACTTTCGTCATTTCAAGCCAAATTCCACTACGGACCTCCGAATCACAATACAGACGTGCTACTAAGTCCAAAATCACTCAACGGAGATAACGGAACTATCAAAATTCCAATCCGAGGTCATCTGCTAAAAAGTCAAATTTGGTCAACTCTCCCAATTTAAAGCTTCAACAATGAAATTCTTTCTTCCAATTCGATTCTGAATAACCTGAAAACCAAAACCGACGATTCACACAAATCAAAATACATCATACATAGTTACTCATGCCTGTAAACTACCGAGCGAAGTGCAAATGCTCACAACGACCGGTTGGGTCGTTACAAGTAATCAGGTAGGATTCCTAACTTGTAGTATTATGTCCTAAAACTAATAGGATTACAAATGTCTAGAATTCCAGTTATGTCCTTTTATTGTGAGTTATTATATTTAACATTATAAGGTTATTTTTATAAACCGACATTATATTCATGTTTTATAATAATATAGATATATAAAATATCTAAAAAAACCATTCAATGAGACGCGTTAATGAAATATGCACCGCCAATATCGAAAAGCATATGATGCTTTTGATTTTACAAATTTGAAGTTGAAACCATGCATCAGCAAAGACGATATCATGTTCCTAAAATATTATTTCTCACGAGTACTTCAAACCTTGGCTTTGGATTTCAATAAGTTTGTACTTCTTCAAGTTTTGAGGGAAGAGGCATTTGTAGGCATGTAAAATTTTAGTATATTTAAATACATAAGAAATTTTAATTTAATCTCAAATTAAATATATTTTAGTTCAAATAAATATTATGGGCTAATATAATTGAATTAATTATATAAGTTCAATACATATGGATTATATAAATAAGTCTAAATCTATTGGGCTAGCCCATTTAATTAGGCTACAAGTGGTGAGCCTACTTCATTAAGCCAAGATGTCATCTTCCTAGATATCCAGTTTGGTGCCACGTGTCAAATAGCGTGACACGCCAGGTCAAACAGAAAAGCCAATAGGATCATGCCATGTGTCAAAATGACATAAGATGCCAAAATTAAAAGGCCAATAAAATTACGCCATATGTGCAAGTGACGTATTTTGGCCAATCAAATGCGGCATTGACACTACTTCAATGTGATTGGTTAATGATTCAAGTCAACCAATCAAATCACACAGCTACATCCCTCCCACAATTATAAATAGAGGTTTGCATAACTCAGAAAATAAAGATCACAAATCATAACAAGAAGCAAGAGAGAGCTCGTGGATCAAACGTAGCAAATTTCTCCACAAGCTTCAAGTTTCAAACAATCAAGTTCAAGTTGAATAAATCAAGTTCAAGATCAAGAACGAACAAATATAAGGCGTTCAAGATTAGGATTACTTGATCTTAACATAATTATTGTTCGTGGCGATAATCAAGGTATTTAAGGAGATAGATCGAATTCAAATTCGGGATCAAGCTCAAAGGCTCCTTAATTTATTTTATTTACTGTTGGAAAGAAGAATCAGATAATTCATAGAGATTGTAACACACAAATTATTTGAAATAAAATACTACAACTTTTGCAATATTTTTCTAGTCTTGATTATTTTCTTGATGCAAATTTATTGTCTACAATATTAATTAGAAAATTTGTAGATCAAGTCATTTTTTCACTTCAAAACAGATCGAACAATTCGAAGCGTATGAAAATATTTTGATTCTCTTTAGTGGTAAAAGAAAATAGCATCACTAGATGATGAGAATCTTAATTAGAAATATTGCCTTAATCTTGAAATTTTCTTAAAACATAGTAGTCATTATTTGGACTTATTTTTCGAATTAAAATAGTAAGGAAAAAATAATTTTTAAAATTAAAATTTATATTATCTTACTTAAAATTAACAATGTCTCAAGAGAGATCAAATTGACTACCTATGATATCATTTGGAAAAAAATATATTAGAATAAATTGACTATAAAAAAAATTAATAATTTTACAACTCAAAAAGCTAGGAGGATAGACTTAATAAAATATGTATACGTTTTTATTAAAAAAAATTGAAGGCCACAAATATCGTTGAGTGCCCCTAATTGAAATACTATCTATTAGAGAAATTGGAATCAGTCAGAATATACGTCGGAAATGTTAGTTAAGAGGCACTCCTTGATTCTTAATGTCCAAGCTGTTGTTTTTGGTGGCTGACCAAAAATATGTTTTGCCTACTCATAAATAAATAAGTAAATAACAAGGATAGTTTAAATCATGAAAACACACCTTTGAATGGCCAAAAACACCATGTCATCGACATTGGGTGAATTTTTCGCCTTTGTTCTTGAGAAAAAATGTGGATCCGTGAATAGAGAGTAACGTGAAAATAGAAGATATGACCTATGGTATCAGCATCGAGTGGTGTAACGTAGACTATCAGAATACATCGCTGCAATTTGAAGAGTTTTTCATACTAAATTTCTCTAACTAATGGGAAATATGTATATCCAACGACTGCCTCTAAAATTAAATTTATTATGTAATTTTCTATGATAAAGGCATAGCGGATATAAAATCCAAGTAATCTACTCCGTTAGTTTTTCCCTTATTTGGTCATTTAGATAATAAAAGAATTTAGTGAACTGGTCCATGACCCATAACATACCAATTAACAATAATACAACAGGGAGTTGATACAGGATAAAACATAACGTACGTACGCCATGCACCACACAAAAAATGACCCATATCCGTGCAACAGACGTCTGATTTTCCAATTCAGCGCTCAGAATTGAAAATAACCCGCTTTAAGAAAAACGCAAAGTTATGCAATCTTTTACATGCCCCAGATACCTAACAATGTATTAGGAATCGAGGCTGAATATTGTTTCCATCCGAACCAATGACGGTGAGTTACACAGGTTACAGTACTTCAAACACCAAAAGCTATTAAGTCCTGGCATTCTTTAATAAATCAGCTAGTCGCAGTTAAAACTTTACTGACAGTCACAGAAGTCCTCAACAACGGGCTAGTAATCAAGAAAAGCCAAAGGAAGCACATTATAGCATATAAAGCATGCTGAAACTGAAAATCAAGGAGTCTAAAGTTCATATTTCAGCATAAATTATTTGACCCAAAAGAGGTACCAAGAACTTAATTCACTTGCTCCATCAATACCAGCCAGCCTTTTATCATAATTCCATCGCTGTTTCAACAATCAGATTAAGAATGAGTTCAAAGTTATTAAAATGCGGCCCAAGAAGCTTAAGCATTCAGCATTGAGTTCCTCCTGCACTCGGACAACATGTCCATGTAGAATTGGCACTTGCCAATGTCGCTTCCAGAGCTATTGATGCACTACAAGATAAACCAAACAAGAAAGGAATCATCAGAATCTTTTAGTGAGAACTAGACATTGTCATACTGACTATGAAGGCTAGAACAATCCCAAATTTGCAAAGTAAAAGTTGTTAAAAGGTGCAAAGTTGACACTTACGTCTTGGAATGCTTTAGAGTGCATACTGCAAGCATCAGACCCCGCACCGATGTTTGTAGGAGCTGCTGCGGCAGGTACCTCGGAAGCAACAGTTTCGTGTTGAATGGTGCGTGGACCCATGACCGCATCTACAGCCCTGTGTGCCACAGCACTTCCAGTACCAAAGGCCATCCCTGTAAGATATAATGGTAAAACAGACAAGAGACATTTATGAGCAATGTTTTTTGGAGAATTGTAACAGAAATTAATCAACCAATCATTTGACCGGATCCAATGCCGAGCGAGCGACGCGAGGCTTCCCTTCTTTTCAAATCTTTTTTCTTTCATTTATGAGCAACTTCGAAAACAAAATATAACTGATGAATTGTGATGTGAGTTTTACATAATGCAGGATATACACATACCTTGAGCTATGGTAGAACCAATACCACCAAGCATGGATCCACCACCGCTACTTTGCATAGGAGCTGGTGGAGGAGCATGGTGTGCTGCAAAAATGAGATAGAATATGAATTAGCACAAACAAGGAAAATAGATTAAACGATAGAATATGAATTAGCAGAAGCAAGGAAAATAGATTAAACATATCAACTAAAAGAATGCTAACCAAACGAGTTGCCGTGAGGTAAAAAGTTTGACAACCAAAAAACCAACCTGGAGCTGGAGCAGGACGAGGGGCCGCACGAGGGGCAGGGCGAGGAGCAGATCTTCCTGTACACCGAAACAAGGAAAATTGGAACTCATCAACCAGAAAAAAGGAGCTACAAAAAGTTAGACTTATTTCCTTTAGCAAACAGAAGACTACAGCACAAAAGGTAAAGTGTCATGCAAACATTGATGGAGAATTAAGACAGGAAAAAATTGTATAATTGAGGTTTTAAGCAATTCTGCGCACCCTCTCCATACTTTCTCTCGGTTGGAGAAATCAAAATAAGAGGCTCGAATGTAGTCCAAAGCTAATTCAATGGTATCCGCCTTTTCCTTTAAAAATGTAACGAAACAGCCAAAATCCCCTCCCTTTTAGCAATTGGTGAATCTCATGTCAAAATTTCTAGCCTCAAACTCATTACAAATCAAACGGACACAATTAAAGATAAAACTATTGTCTACATAACCTCAAATAAGCACAGGGCCTTCGATGAAAATAATAATGCAAAAAATCAATGCTGCAATTAGGGTTTCAATGTAACTGAAGCATATTTTCTTCTCAACCCACAAAGCCAGAACTACAATCAACCTTAGCAGAAAGAATTATCACCTAACTTGAGCTCAATTGAGAATATTCAACTGTTCATCTAATTAAGCCAATGAAAAAGAACAACAAAGATGGGCAATGTTGAAAGTAGATCTAAATTAATAAGATAAAAAGTAGAAGGAATTTGTTACCAGAGCTTCGGCGAGGCATGATTTTTCCTGATAGAGGCGGCGAAACCCTAGAGAGCGATTTGGGATCAGAAGAAAACTCTAGAAATGCACGTATGTGTCTCTGATATTTTCCGTAAAATATATATATTAGGGGAAAAATTATGGGTGGCGATGATAAGTGTACGTGTCAATACTCAAGTGGTTTAATGTCTTAATTGAACGAATTAGTGCTGAAGCTCACGTGAGGATGATGGAAGTCACCGCATTTGATTGTCTTGCCGGTCTTTCCATAATGTTCTGACTTTACAAATCTCTTCTTTATTTCGAATGCGATATGTGTCGACATGAAACTTAAGAGCTAAACTATACTTGTAGTCTTAACTCTTATGTATATCATGATTTTAGCGTGGTTGTACAATTATATCATTAAAGGTAATAACTTAAATTTTTTTTAAATATATAAATATATTATTTTTTTTAAAATATATACTATTAAAAGAAATAATGTCACACAAAATGAAATCTATAAAATACTGTATATCATTAAAACTGAAAGGGGTAAGATAAAAATTTGAAAGTTAAATTATTTTCTAATATTATCACTTTGAAGAATAGGCTAAAAAAATAATGTCATATAAAATAAATTAGATGGAGTACTTGTATGTCACTTAGATGGATGAACTAAAGAATTTTTAATTTCTTAATTTTTTTGTCTTTAATCTCACACCGAGTATGAAATATGTTTTCCCTTTGTTCTTCATTAGAGTTGCTCAAATTAATGTGCATAAGCCCCATAACCATAAAATTCACCCCGCTATCAATGTACTCCATCTCTTCTCCTTCTTCACTCTCTACAAAGTTTTCTTCTCGTTCTTCACTTGGTTCACCTTTTTCACTCTCATATCACCCATCCTCTTTGATTAGAATGTTTCTTCTACTTGGGCATTCATAATCCTTATGCCCTTCCTTTGACATTTGAGACATTGAATAGAAAAAGTAGAAGTAGAAGTTTTAGGCATAAAAGGCTTACTCCCTGATTGGATTCCAATTTGCTCCTGCCCTTGTCTTCATAGAATTTAGGAGTAGGTGTCTCCTAAGATTTTGGCCATTTTTTCTTTGGAATTATAGTTGGTCGGCTTCTCCATGAGCTAGATTGTTGTCTCCTTTTGTTTTGTCTTTCTACCTTTACAGCTAAAACTAACTCATCTAAAGTTACATATTATTGTAATTCTACTACATAAGCTATTTTCTTATTTAAACCATTCAAAAACCTAGCCATTGTAGCCTCTTCTTCCTCCATACAGTTAGCCTGGATCATTGCCATATCCATAGCCTTAAAGTATTCATCCACAGACATGGACCCTTGATTAAAAGTTTGAAGACATTGTTGTAGATCTCTTTGAAAGTGTGATGACACAAATCTCTTCATCATTACCCTCTTCATCATAGCCCAAGTAGCAATGAGTGCTTGTCCTTCTTGCAATATGTCCCTAGAAAGCTTTTTCTATCAAACTGCTACATAGTCAGAAAACTCAACAACACCAAGTTTAACCTTCTTACCCTCAGAATAGTTGTGGCAGTCAAAGATGGCTTTAACCTTTCTCTCCCAATCAAGGTACAAGTCTGGATCCCTTGTTCCCTTGAAAGATGGCATCTTCATCTTTATACTACTTATATTATTATCTTCTAGTCTTCCTCTTTGTCCCCTCATATCTCTTCCTACCCTATCAAAATCAATATCATCGTTAAAATCATCTATAGGGTTTTCTTGATTTACAATGGGAGCAGGGGGTACATTTCTCCTAGCTTGGGGTCTAGCATTATTTCGTGTTACACCCCATATTTTCGTACATGAAAGTACGCCATAAGTAATTGATGAAAGCTCGGAAATGAGATGTTATATACCGCATTTTTGTAAGTTAAAGTATCGTCATAAGTTAATTGACGTAAGCTCGGGAATGAGATTATTTTTAGATTATAAGTATTATGATATTTCAAACAAGTGATAAGTCTCCATCATTGAAAGATATGTGATAACATAATGAAACATCCTCCAATCTCTCATCATCCTCTATTAGAGATGAAGTACCTTGCTCATTTTATGCAGTAATATGATACGAAGATCCCACACTTTCTTCATCTTCATCACGTTCATTAGTTTAGACCACAATGTATGACTCTGCCTTCAATACGTCTCACATGAAACCACAAGTATTGTTTGTTGCCTCATTCTAGAAGAAACCAAACTTTGAAAATCCATAGAGATCTTCCGGATCCTGAGAGAAACTGATCATATGGTTCATGTACTGACTGATCATATGCTTCCTGTGTTGGATGCGCGAGTAAGAGGATTGATAGCTTCACGATCACATCTGCAAGATAATCATATCGATCACCCATCAGTTGTGGTACCTCCAGTTCCTCCTTCTACTACTAATATTAACGAGGTTCATGCATCGCTTTATGATGATGACCTTCACTCTCTAGTCACTCAGTAGTTAACTATTTTTATTTGAACTTTATTTTGGTATTGTAGATGCTTTGGTATTAATGAGGTTCATGTATCGCTTTCTGATGATGACCTTCTGTAACAACCCGACCGATCCTTTTGAGTATTTACACTTTGCTCGGTTGTTTAAGGGAATGAGTAGCTCTGTATGATGTAATATGACTTATGTGAATCGTCGGTTTTAGTTTTCAGGTTATTCGGAATTTATTTGAAACAATGATTCTCAGCTAGAAGTTTTAAATTTGAAAGAGTCGACCAAGTTTGACTTTTTATGAATTTGAACCCGGAACAGAGTTTTGATTGTTCCATTAGCTCCGTTGGGTCATTTCGGACTTAGGAGTGCGTCCGGATTGTGATTCGGAGGTCCGTAGTTGAACTAGGCTCGAAATGGCAAAAGTTGAAATTTTGGAAAGTTTGACCGAGATTGGACTTTTTGATGTCAGATTTGGATTGTGATTCTGGGAATTTGAAATAGCTTCGTTATGTTATTTGGGACTTGTGCGCAAAATTTGAAGTCATTCCGGATTGATTTGCTATGTTTCGGCACGAGTTATTGAATTTGAAAGTTCAAAGTTCATAGATTTCGATTTGAGGTGCCATTCATCGTTTCAATGTTGTTATGCGTGATTTGAGGCCTCGAGAAGGTCCGTGTTATGTTATTGGACTTGTTGGTATATTCAGACAGGGTCCCGAGTGGCTCTGATGCGTTTTGGACGAGGTTCGGATCATTTTACTTCATGTTGCTATGACTGGTTCTGGTGTGATCGCACCTACGGCTGGTTTGCGCAGGTGCGATGGTCACAGAAGAGAGGAAGGGGTCACAGGAGCGGAAATAGTGCTAGGTGAGGAAGACCGCAAAAGCGGAGATTTGGGCACATATGCGTATGCGCATATGCGACGTGATGGAGCACATGAGCGAGGTATTTCGTAGGTGCGGATGGTGGCTCACACCTGCGATGTGGCAGAAGCGGATATGTTGTCCGCAGGTGCGAGGGTCAAGTCCTCAACTGATTCCGCCGAAGCGGAGGTTATGTCATAGAAATGATGCCGCAGAAGCAACTAATGTGCCGCAAGTGCGAAAATGCTGGCAGAAGCTATAAATCGAGGTTTTGGTTCTTTCTTCATATTTTTAGATGTGGGACTCGGATTGAGGCGATTGTTGGAGCAATTTTTATCATAAGGATTGGGGTAAGTGTTCTCTACTCGGTTTTGGTTATATTTCATGAATCCACCTTCGTTTTTGGTAATTGGATTGTGAATTTTAAAGAGGAAATTGAGGGTTTTGGCCTAAAGTTTTATAATATGAATGTTTGAGTTTGAGCATCGAATTGGAGTCGGATTTGAGTGAAACTAGTATGGTTGGACTCGTAATTAAATGGGTTGTTGAATTTTGTCGGATTTCGAGGTGCGGACCAATTTTGGGCTTTTGGCCGATTTTGGGCTTTTCATTCAAGATTTGATCTTTTCCGATAGGGATTGGTTCCTTTAGCATTGTTTGATGTATTTGAGTTGTTTTTGGTTAGTTTCGAGCCGTTCGGAGGTCGGAACGCGCGGGATGGCATTTTGGAGCATCGCTTGGCTTGTTCAGTTTTGCAATTGGCTTGTTCGAGGTAAGTAACTCTTCTAATCTTGGGTTTGAGGGTATGAAACCCCGAAATACGTGTTATGTGATTAGTGTTTAGGTGACGCACATACTAGGTGACGGGCGTGTGGGCGTGCACCATGTGAATTGAGACTCTGTTGTTCCCATGACACTGTATAGTGGTCCTACTTTGTTGATATCCGTGTTCTCACCATGCGATAAGGTAGTTAAGCTATCAATCATTCTAGATATCATGTTTAGGCATTATGCCGATACTGTTTGGACCCATAGTGATCGTTTCTTACGGTCATCTCACTGATTTCATTGATATTTTATGCTTTGTCATATCCATGCATTCATACCATGTCAGTAGAGTAGCTGGTATTTGATGAGACGAGGTTATTATACCTATAATAGATACTATTGGAATTGATGTCAGCATGGTTGGAAGGATAATATCGAAAGTTGTCTTAGAGATTTGCTATAGTTCTTGTCAAAGGATATGGAGTACCATGACTTATTGATCTGATGAAGGGTTATGGGTTCTGCATGTTTCTTTAATCATTGGCAGTCCGAAGGTTTAGAACGAGGCTTTTTTTGATATGAGGTTGTTATCGGTATTGGGTTGATTTGAGTAGCTACTGTGATTAGAAATCTTTGCTTCGAGCGTTTGAGCTATGTGGTATTTGAGTTTTGAGTATTTGAGTTATGGTTATGGCTTTTGGTACATCTTGTTTAGACTTATACAATGTGTAGGTTGCGGGATTCAGATCTTATAAGAAATTCCGGATGATGGAAATTGTATTCGAAGGCTTGTGGGCTAGGTTGAATTGAGAAATTTAGTTATGTTGTGTTATCAGACCTGTATGGGATAGGGTGACGTGGGATCACCCCCGGGTATGTGCATGGTAAGGTTATACTGTGGTTTGATGGCTTTGAGAACAACTCTGGAACGTTCGAGGATGAATGTATATTTAAGTGGGGGAGGATGTAACGACCCGAAAGGTCATTTTGAGAATTTACACTTCGCTCGGTTGTTTGATGGCA